AAAAATGCAAGTTTTCAAGAATACCTACAAAAACTAGATGCAACTCAAGCCACTGACTACTCGTTATGGAAGGCTACAAGGACTCTACGAAGGCAGAACTATACAGTCCCACCAGTAAGAACACAAACAGGACAATGGGCGAGAAGTCCACTAGAAAAAGCCGAAACATTTGCGACACACCTTAAAAAAGTCTTTACACCAAATGAGGGAAATTACTCACTACAAACTGAAGAAGAAATTATTTCGATACTCACAAAACCTTATCAACTAGAACTTCCCGAAAAAAGATTCACAAAAAATGAGGTAAAAAATATTATACAACACAACATCGATCCAAAAAAGGCTCCAGGATACGACCTGATTACGGGAAAAACTCTTCAGCAACTCCCAGAGAAAGGCTTCCAATTTCTGACACAGTTATTCAACTCTATAATGAGATTAGGCCACTTCCCATCACAATGGAAACTAGCACAAATAACAATGATACTAAAACCAGGAAAAGAACCAGAAAGTGTACAGTCCTACCGTCCTATTAGTCTTCTTCCAGTGGTATCCAAAGTTTTTGAAAAGCTGACACTTACTAAGCTAATGCCTATACTAGAAAACAAAAAACTAATACCACCACACCAATTTGGGTTTATAAAACAGCATTCAACGATACAACAGGTACACAGAATTGTAGAGAGAATCAACGAGGACTTTGAAAATAATAGGTACTGCTCGGCGGTATTTCTGGACGTAAGTCAGGCATTTGATAAAGTCTGGCATAAAGGCTTATTATGTAAACTAAAACAAAATTTACCTACAAATTACTATATACTCTTAAAGTCCTATATCACCAACAGAAACTTCCAGGTAAAGTATGAGAATGAATACACAAACATACAACAAATTCTCGCTGGGGTGCCCCAAGGAAGTGTACTAGGACCTATATTATACCTTATATTTACTGCTGACCTACCGACAGAAACACACATAACTACAGCTACATTTGCGGATGATACGGCAATAATATCGTCGAACAAAAATCCCAAAATAGCCTCAGAAATCTTACAAAATAATCTAAATCAAATCCAACAATGGATGACAAAATGGAGAGTCAAAATTAATGAAAACAAATCGCTACACCTAACATTTACCACGCGTAGGGAAACATGTCCGGCTGTTTACTTAAACGGTACAGGAATTCCACAAGGGGATGAAGTCAAATATCTAGGTATGTACTTGGACAGAAGATTAAACTGGAGGAAGCATATATTTACTAAGCGAAAACAACTGGGTCATAAGTTAAGAACCATATATTGGCTGTTGGGCAAAAAATCAAAACTATCAACCGAAAATAAAATATTAATCTACAAATCCATCCTAAAACCAGTGTGGACTTATGGGATAGAATTATGGGGAACCGCCGCACATTCCAACATTGAAATAATACAAAGATTCCAGTCCAAAACATTGAGATCAATACTAGGAGTTCCATGGTTCATAACCAATGAAGCCATTCATCGGGATGCCGGACTATCATATGTCAAAGATGACATCAAAAAGTGCGCGAAAAAACATAAAGAGAAACTTAAAGTGCACCCAAACGTGTTAGCAAAAAGTTTAGTGAATAAACCGCGTACTGTTCGTAGGCTAAAACGAAAAGTTCCGTTAGAGTTAAGTGAACAATAGGTTCTAAATTAATGTGTACAAGTCTATGTCAGAAATAGTCAGTGTTGTAGGCTAAGTTTTTAAAAAAAGGGGTGCATCACTGGATGCCTCCCTACATGTCATTCCAAATTATTGTCAGTCCTATTACTTATTGTCTATTATCTACCTAAATATTTAGGTTTAGATTGTACAGATAGATTGTAATAAATGTGGGGTTAATAAAAAAAAAAATAAGCTTCCATTAGACAGCACGTTTGTCATTCTATCTGTTCTTATAACGGAAGAGTTGTGTTCACGGACAGACAGACATGGATAATTCAAAGTTTTCACCATTTTTTTTAATGTTGTAAAATAGCTAAAAACAGTATTACGTATTTGATTTTGGCATTATTTATGGATATGTGGCTGCTCGGAACTAAAGTTTGTCAAATACTTGGTCTTTTTAAGGTTAATTTTTACGGTTAAACGTACCTTTGTTGACGCAGAGTTTTGTGTACTTAACAAATTTTGGACTTCTTTCAGGCGTCTTAAATTAACACTATATTTGCTGTTACATTTATCTTATAGTAAATCAATTTTTATATACGTTCATTATTAACCCTTTATTAGGCGCGCGACCTGCCCGAACGCCGTTAGTCGAGGTAGGTCCAATGGACCTATGATTAACTATTTAATTACTAGCGGATTTTTAAAAATTTAAATCCTTATTATTTTAATGTTACAACATAAATAAATGTATTTTATAAGAAAGTAAATAATTAAACAGATTTTGAATGCGTAATATTGCCCATATATGGAGAAAAACAAAAAAAACAAAACTACTTATGGAATTAATAAAAATATATTTAAAGTGAAAAAACAACATAGATATGTGTATTATATTTATTAACAGATTTAATATATATCTCATTAATATTTATTAAAACTTTCCTCGCACATTTTTTAGCATTTATACTCAAACATAAAAATTTGCTACACCTTTCACAAGAATATTGAGTTTTGCATTGTTTCTTCGTTTCTTTGTAACAAGCTGCATAGTGTTTTCTTTTACTTCGGTTTGAACTATTTGCTGCTCGATCCCTTTCATGTGTCTCTTCTTGTTCAGGTTTATAAGGTTCTAAAAGAGTATTCAGTTTAGTCGGTAAACTTTGTATTGTTGATCTCCTCTGTAAATGTAGAGTTACTAAACTTTTTGCCAAATTTTTCAAAAAGATCCGCTTCGTAATATACTCTGTCCCATTTCCAAAAGAAATAATCATGGGGTTAATTCCGGCTACATTTAATAAGCGGTAAAATATCACCATAGGCCATCTTCTCGTAGCTCGTGCTGTATCATAAGTGGCACATAATTTATCCACAACGTCCACGCCTGATTCTGTTTCATTGTAAAATTGTATTATCTCCGGTTTCTTATCGGTGTCAGACGATACAACTGAACTTGACGTATGATAACTAGACCTGTCCTGGTTTTTTTGGTACATATGATACAAGTGTCTCGTGTTTACTATAACCAAATAAGCTATCATATTCATTGCGATTTTTGGGAAATGCAAAATCTGCCGGAATTTCTCGTCGATTTTTCCTCACGGTTCCTACGAAGAAAAATTTTTGTTTTTCCAGTTCTTTTACAAGGTTCAAACTAGTAAACCAATTATCGGCAGTAATATTCCTGCCTGTGCCGAAAATTGGTTCTGCCAACCTGCATACAATTGCATCTGTAGGTCCTGTAAGGTCCTTTCAGTTGTTGCCCGCAATAAATTTTCATATTATAAGTATAAAAATAAAAAATATAAAAGTTTTGCATCACATAAAGAGAATATCTTGATTCTTTACTTGCTTGGTTTGGATGGTATGTACTGTCTAAATCCGCAACGTCCTCGGAATTCTGTGGCAGCATTTCATCAATTGTTGTGTTTTGTCCTAGGCTATAATATGTCTTGCGATTTTCCAAAAAATAGTTAAAAATATCTCTCACTGAAGCTAATTTATCTGTTGCTTGTGTTTGAGGCCGTGTGGTTTTTTCATCGAAACGGACACATCTTATAACCTGACTTACCATTATTTTCGCTTTTGGCGCCCATCATGTCTTCTGTATCTACGTCGTCGATTTCATGATCGGTATCAGAATCCATCGAACTTGTCTCCAGATCCTCTGTTGACGATTCATCTGATTCGTCAAAATCTTCTTGGGGTAAAGTATTTGTGTCACATTCACCTTCTTCGAAAACAAGATGATTAAGCTCTTCTACGTCTGCCGGATTATCAAGTTTGTAAATACGATTACTCATTTTCTCAAAAGTGTCGCCAAATTATGATAAAATACTTTTTTACGTAATTGTCACAAAATAAGTAATGTCGATTATTCACAAAACACACTATTCAGAGTCAGTAAAAAACAATAAGCACTAGTATATAAATCGGTTATTGGAATGTTACTTCGGCAGGTAAAAGAAGACTGATCATCATTAGATGTCATTTAGGCTCAATGATATATATTAATTTTATTTTAAATTACAGGCAAAAAACTGGGGTCTAGGTCCACTTGACCTATGCCCGACTAATGAAGGGTTAACGAAGATATTGTGTAGTACCCTTGTGGTAGTCACCTAGTTTGTGTTTTCTATCTTAATACATTCGTTATACTCTCTTCTTTTATTTGTAACATCGCATATTATGATTCGATCAGTTGTTTATTCTGTACTGAGTCAGGTCTTCTTTAGGCCAATAAAGCAAATTTGCCTTATAGTGTGTCTATTATCATCTATAATGTCATGTATAATCTCGTATGTCGCCAGACGTTTATTAATAACGAAGATACGGTGTATTGCCCTTTTGGTATTCGCTTTGTTTGTTTTTTCTGTCTTAATATAATCTTTATCCACCTTTCCTTTCATTTATCGCATCACACACTCCAATCGCGCCAATAACAACGGAGATATGATGTAATGTCGGCGCTAGGGGGTTTTTATTACGGACAGATAAACAGAATAAGCATTTTATATGTATCGATGACCTCTTTGACTCATTAATGTCAAGAAGGTAGTATTTGTATCAATTTAGATAAACCTATTTCTCAATCTTATTAATCTTTCAGTAATCCTTACGTTCCTACTATCTTTAACTATACTATTTTTAACTATTTAATTACAGATCCGTTTTAAAGTCAATAGTGCATGTTCGATCAGATTGTGTTCACGGCTATTATACTGCAAATAAATAGACAATAAAATTACTGATCTTAAAAAAGGAAACTGATATTTTAAAATGCACAAAATGTAACGTATCTTATCATTAATTTATCTTATCTTTCACTATTTTAAAAAATTGAGATTGATTATTGGAAAGAAACGTAATCTCACAATTGTTTCAGGCATTCCTAATTGTTTGCGTTTGTATACAATGTGAATCTGAGATTTTTACAATGGAGTTTACCTGTGCTGTGTTAGTTAGTATATTTATTGCTGGTAAGGAAAATAAATATTTGATTATTAAACGTATAAAAGCATGTAGGTGATATAATTTTAAACTTTTGGCTGTATGTCTGATACCTTAATGAGACAAAGAATTATTAAACATAAATGCGTAGATGAGTCATATCCGATTTTAATGTTTATTGGAAAATTAAAAAGATTTTAAAGAAAATTAAAAATTTGGAGCATTAAAAGAACAAAAACAGGGAGGCATAAAGAAGAGTAACAAATGAAACGAAGAAACTGTGGAAAGATCCTAAGCGGAGATAAAACAACATATTTAGAAGTACCTACCAGAAATTTAGTATGATGGTATATCTTGCAGTTGCTCTAAAAAATACGATGGAGAATATACACATTGGCAAATTAAAGAACAAGAATGGCAGGAATACTAAAAACAACTGCTAACTGAAAATCGTCCTCAATTTATGAAATAAACAATACAGGAACAAGAAAACCATGTAAAGGATTAGTTATAAATAACTCTTACGAAGATAAGTAATACCAAACGAACTGGTTAAAAATAGATTTAAGAAATTCTTTCGCACGATACATAAAACATTGAGTAGACTGAATAGAGAAGCTTTAACATCCCTTTATCATCCCCTTAATACTAAGGGGATTATTGGGAATTTATCTTTATTGAACAGCCAGCAATTGACGGATTTGTAGTTTACTGTTTTTATTTGCGTAAAAACAACTCAAATTCCTACAATATATAAAATTAACAGTATAAAAAACTAATTAATTCCCATTACTTACTGTTCTCTTGCTGTCTGCTAAATTATTAAATTATTTAAAAATTTCCCTGGGTGACAGTTTGTTTTCTGACGTTTTTATATTATATTTGACATAGTTTATGAAACAGTAGCAACGGGAAATTTTGGGTAACATGATAAAACTAAAAATTAACTAAATACATTTTATACATATAATAAATATTCGTAAAAGGGATGTTAGGATGTAGGTGCTATTTTTCAGGAAAGCAGCTTTAAATTTGAAAAGAAGCAAACCGTACTGTGTTACAGCAAATAAAGTTTGTTTCTGAGTATTTCTAGCAAGAAGTTAAAATAAATCTAAATTTTTTTTATTGGGTTAATGCCTCGACAAATATGATCATTGGCATGGTACAGTCAGGTACCTAGTGTAGTGTGTGTGTGTGTGTAGAGTAATTGTCTTGATACTTAGCAAGGTCGACGTCATTGTCTTTGCTAAGAGACGCTAATTGTATCCGAACGTCTGCGGTCCCTCTGGTGAGTACCAATCGCACAAGGATAGAAATTAGTTTCATTCATTAATTTTTAATAAATGAAAATTTCTCCACCCAGATGAGATTCGAACTCACGACCTTTAGTTTTAAAGGTAGGCGCTCTTACCACTGAGCCACAGAGGGGTTAAATTATTTTAAGTGTTTTAAAGTCTTGTTTTAAGAAAAAATAAGAAGAAGAAATAGTATTTAAACACTCACGATTTGTTTCTGTATTCTGTTAGCTACTACCTACTAATCTAATATATATTTGACTCTTGTATACATTTTAGTTTTGTTTCACAAAATATCAGGAAAAATAGAGCAAGAATGACACTCACAACTTATGCTATGACCAACTGCACAAATAGGTATTTTGAAGAATATCAGGACGAGGCAACCCATAACACAAGTTACCCGGACATACACTGAAGTAGTGGAAATAGCAGGACACATTCGCTGTGGCTTGCCGTGTATGAGTTTGTATCCGCCTGACTGTCTGAAGACGTAGAGCATACAGAAATTACGTTATAACAGTCTATTTATGCCAATTTATACACGAAAAGTTTGACGAATTGTGCTCCTTTCGTCGTTTATTTTTATATATTCGGCGTCTCAATTTATCAAAGCCCCGTAGCAAAGCTCTTGCTGAAATTTGTAAATCTGTTATTAGGTATATATATATATATATATATAATATATATATATATATATATATATACTTATATATATATATATATATACTTATATATTATATATATATATATATATATATATATATATATATATATATATATATATACTTACATATATATATATATATATATATGTATATATATATATATATATATATATATATATATATATATATACATAAATACAATGAATACTGTTTATCATGCTATGTAATCATACTATTTTTATTTTTGTTTTTTTTTATTCTCTATGGGTTAGTTAAAACACAACACCAAGAAGATGTAGAAAACAAACTTTTTAGAACTTTTATTATTTTTAACTAAATTTTAAAATGTATTGTTGTATTAATTATTGTATAAGTTTTAGTGTATATGTTTGTTATTAATGTTGAGTGTCATAGCTTCGTACAAATAATCTCAACGACTAGTAAGTACACTGATATTTTGTGATATATTGTAAATATTTACACATTTTTCTAATTACAGTGTCTTCATAAAGGAATTAAACAATTCCGAAAGCTAGACCAAAAGTCAAAAGAGTGTTTCTGTAACATCCCGGCCAAACTTCTGACTGCAGCCCCAATAAACTTTGTTGTTTGTATATATAAATATATATACTTGTGTTGTGTTTGTTGTATTCTGTATTGTAAAAAGGCTTTCTTCTTTTCTTCACATTTTGTCTTCACTTCCTCTTTAAACTATGGTGTTTTCTTTTTTGATATGTTAGTGTTACTGTTACTGCTACTTTCCTCTCTCCAAGTGATTCTGTTGCTGCGTTAATTATGTTATTTTTGAGTTTTTCCCAGCGTTCCTCGATGTTATCGTTTTCTAATATTTTATTTCCAGCCATCTTCTCTGATATTCTTTTCCTGTATAAGTATTTCGTGGATTCCGTATTTAGTCCTTCGACTTTTGATTTTTATTTGTGTTGGCGCCGCTCTTTTGGGTGGGACGTATTTCAGGATTATTCTTATTTTACATAATACTATATGTATCGCTGCCTACATCTACTATGGTCGCTACGTACATCTGCTGAGTTGAGGCATCTTACGTCTCGATTATTTTTGATGGATGTATACTTCCGTTGATTATAACATAATCTATCATAGATTTTTGTCCACGAGTGTTATTTAATGTATATTTATGTTGGTCTTTGTGGTCAAAAAATGTGTTGTTTATTCTTAGTTCGTTATTCGTGCAGAAGTTGATCATCAGTTCTCCATTTTCGATCTTAACATTCTTGGTATGTTTTTCTTTAATGCCGGGTATTACTTGATTGCCTATTCAAGCATTAAATTCCCCCAATATTATCATCTTTCCTATGACTTGATCTATTACTTGTTGTGATTGGTCATAAAACGCTTCCCATGTTGTTTGAGGTTCGTTATTTTCTGGGCCGTATACTTCGATGATGTTCAGGTCTTCCTTCTCCATTCTTATCTTTTCTGTTATTATTCTTTCTGATATGTATTGACATTCTTTGATGTGATTTTGGTGTATTAGTAAGGCTACAGCTTCTTTGGTCCTGTTTTCATTTGCTACTCCACTGTAGATTCCTAATTGTGACTGACCTTTTTCTTTCTTTTTGTTGCCTGTAGAGCACAAATGTCTACTTCTTTCTCTTTCAGCACTTGGGTAGTTGAGTGATCTGATATTCCAAGTAGTGATTCTCATATGGGATTTGGATCATCACCATCACCTGGTTTTTAAATGTTTTTCGTTTGTCCTTATTTCTTGCCGTAGTTGTCTTCATAGTGTCAATCCGGTTCCCAGGATGTTCATGTTTCTTTGAGCAGTTTTTGCCTTGTTGTTAATCTTGCCAATCACCCTCCACATTTTGTTCGGATGTGGTAACCGCAAAGCTACTCAATCCACCCCGCAATCACTCCAGATATATATATATATATATATATATATATATATATATATATATATATATATTGTTACGATTTTAAATGTTATGGCATATAGAACTGTAAATATTTTATGACTAATTCTTTTTTATTGATTCTCGTAATTTGTAGGTCAAAATATACCTGAGCTTCGCTACCAGTTGTTTACAGAAATCTCTAGACACTAATTTTAGTGAGTCATCCACGTCTCGAGGTTGAAAAACGAGTCGAGCGCCTTCACCAAAATACGAGATCATTCAGGAAGTTCGCCGAAAGTTCCAGATGACAACAGTTGTGTATATAAATGAAAGATTTTTGTATTTGAGTCAGTCATAAGAAGATCGGTAAACGCGGTATTTAAATGTAACGAAACGTGAAATAAATACAACTGTAAAGTTATTTAATAAATTAGTAATTAGCTATCGTGAGTTTTAATAAATTAGATTATAGACAATAAATTAGAATAAAGACAAATAAATTAGAACTATACAAACGCCACAGTGGTGCAGAAGTGGGATCGTAGATAAATTTAATTTGATTTTTGAAAAAGACTTTTGAACTTTTGAAAGGTATTGTTCGTCGGGAACATCCGCGTAGTTCAGTAGTGATCGTTGTACGAAAGAACATTTAAAAAGTACGTGTATGCCTGACCAAAGATGCTGCTAGTAGAACTTTCAGTGAAACAGTTGCGTGAGCAACTAGAAGAACGCGATGAAGACTGCAGCGGGTCCAAGAAGATCCTCCAAGAACGACTGAAGACTGTTCTCAACAAGAATGGAGACGACCCAGAGACATTCCAGTTCCAGTCAGCAGAAGAAGCCGTTTTAACTAAAATAATCGATGGAAAATTTGAGAATGTCTCACAAATGATCGAAGAGAGTTCTAGAAAAAATGATGAGAATGTTTCCAAAACATTCAATGAAACGTCTCAAATTATTAAAGAAGTAGCTAGACAAAACGACGAGAAACTCGAAAATGTGTCAAAAAGATTCGACGAGAAATTTGAAAATGTTTCTCAAATGATGGAAGAAACTTCGAAAAAGAATAATGAGAAATTTGAAGAAGTTTCCAAAACATTTGAAAAAGTAGAAGAGAAAATCAAACAGTTAGAGACCATGATAACTAACACGAGAGTGCTACCACCAATTAATACGGTAGCTT